TGGATTTTAACGATACCCGTTTGCCCAACTTGAGAACACCCCTGTGCGTCCTCTTCTTGTTGTAGTGATTCCGTGCTGGTTGTCCCCTTGACGTGCACTGCACTTGACACCAGCACTCCCACTTGGCTGGTCACCTCTTCCAGTCAAATTTCCTAGAGGTTCAGTTCTGTCCTTGTGAACCACTTCCCCACTCGGCTGGTCACCTTTTCCAGTCAAGTCTCCTAGTGGTCCGGCTAGGTTGCAAGCTATCTGAAAACCCTTAACAACGCCCACCACTTGGGCACCTTATTGAAGTCACTGGTTTAGATTGCTAGATTGATCGAAACGATCGGTCTTATAAAACAGTATGGGTATACTATTTAATTAATATACAGGTTTGATCCAACTAATCTGGTATCAAAGTCACTGTCTTTTTTGTTTTATGGTTTTTGTTCCTTTTTCTATACTTTTTTCTTGTTTTTGTTTCGTTTTTTGTCTTTTTGCTCGTGTTTTTTGTCCCCCTAGTCACCCCCCCCCTACTCGGTTACTCGGTTAGCTAGGCCTCGTTCGCAGAGCGTACCAGGAAATTTTCTCAAGTTTTCTTAAAAAGCTATCACGGTACAACCGGAAGGTTTACACGTTTCCGCTGAACCGTACCACTGGTACTCTAGAATGGGCTTGCAGCCCAAAGCTGTGTCAAGTGGGTTCGACTCCGTAGTCATGATGTCGTAAAAACACCCAGGAGCGCCATAAACACACTATGCAACAGTCGCCTACTTCGGTCAAATATGAGGCTTAAGAAAAGTAGGCCCTATAACCATTGGCTCAAGAAACAGGGACACTATCTCTTGTGTTTTTCTACCTCAAAAACGGTCGGAGCCAATTCGGTTCGCTTGCGACATGAGACTAGAACCAGTTACAGCTTAAAGGCTACTACCAAAATATACCCCACTCTAGAAAATAAGAACGTGCCCATACTTAGGTCTCGAGATACCCAAAATACACGAACGCCGTTAAAAACAGGGTCGGAACAATCCGTTAAGTTATTTTTTATTAATTAGACAGTGGAACTTTGATCCATTTCAGATTGATCAACCTAAAACTCGCCTTATCTCAACATAACAATCATAAAACACACTCGAGAAAACTAAACTTGGTACTTACATAGCAGCACGCTTGAGACACAGAGTAACTAAACTAATTATCGAATCTGGCATAAACCTAATCAAATATAACTCAAGAAGTTTTCTAACGATCAGTCCCAATCAAAGGGAGTAAGTTTTAACTCAAGAATATAGTTTTGACTCTGTACCATTTGGACACTTCACTTGTCCGCCTTTCCGTTGAAGGTTCACACTGGTCCAATTGATATTAGCTCTGCTCTCGTGTTCGTTTGGTCTCCTATGTCAGATAGGACAGCTCTACTCTCGTTTTCTACGATGAAAATTGCGAATGGCGATTTCCCACTGTATATATTTGACAACTTTCCCGCAATTGTTAATTCGGTCGTTCTGATTTCTTATTTGATGTTTTCAGTTGTCGCGAGAAAACTGAGCATGACAGGCTCCACTCGAATTTTTGAAAAATAAAACTTCACTCCAAAATCACGTATATTCGTGTCCCTCAAGGTCAAACTTCTAAATATGATCGACTGGCACAGGTGCATTGTCATGAGTTACGCTCATTATGGATTGAACTTGCCTAAATTTTGAACAAACCATTTTACAGATAAAAAAGAGCGTTTTGAGGTGCATATTAATTTCAAAAGTCGACATGAAGTCTAATCGTCTTGAAGCCTGGTATGTTTTTTGTCCTAGATCCGATTCTTACGAAGATGCGCGGAATTTGTCAATCATTCTTTGCTCTTTAAACGGACCGAACTGACTGATTTTTTGCTTACTTCCCGGGTTGACCAAAAATGCTTATCCTACAATTTTCATATATGAAAAAATGCTCATCCTACAATTTCCTACAGTTTCATAGTTCATAGACTCTGTTAAAATTGTAAAAAAACTCTAGGACAAGCATTTTTTCATAAATGAAAAGTGTAGGACAAGCATTTTTTCATAAACCAAAAAATTGATTTTTTCTAAATTTCTTTTCTCAAATTTTTTGGGACGTGTCCTTGACGGAACGCAAGTGACTAAACCCATGGTATACTCAACACTAGAGTTTCCAAAAAGGTTGATCGTCTGTCATTGACAATGCATTGGAAACGATGTGAATTGTGAAAGTGATAACTTCACAAATGATATAGTGAAAGCATCAAACTTTTATATTTTGGCAAAATTTTTCAAAGATGATTTTTTTTTAAAATTGAGTATTCAACGTATCAAACATTGATCAAGGCATCAAGGCATTATTAAACATGCCATACAAAAAAACAAGATTTTTTAGCCAGTTTAAAAAACTTATCCAGAAAAACGGAAAAAACTCCAATTTTTGTGCATCGTGGACTACGTTATGCAAACAAAAAAATTGTTTGTTTGAGTACGATATTCGATTTGAGGTTGAAAAAAACGAAAAAAATTTTCGGGCACTTTCAATTTTAATTTTTTAAAAAAAATTGTATGAAAATTGTATGATTAGCATTTTCCATACATTTGATGTAGGCAATTGTATGATAAGCATTTTCGGATTATGGAGGTCAACCTGGGTTCGTAAGAGTTAAAGAGTATTGAATTTTGAATGCTGACTAACTTTTCGATCATTTGATCATTTGTGCATGAGGCACTGCCCTTCTTGATATATCAAAAAAAAGGCATCTTATTCCGTTAAGACCCTGATCATGCTAAAGAGTCACTTTCTGATATAAGGAAACACTCACAAAAAAGAAGCATAATCAGCTTCGTACGCTAATAAAACGGCGAAAAAAGATTGTTCAAATATCAGTGAAGAATTTTGAATGATCCGATGCATGTGCCTTTTAAAGAATAATTAAAAAAGTTAACAAAAATTTTTCTTCAAGTACGTTCATAAAACAACTGAACAAATGAAAAAAATTGATTGTTTATTTGTCATCTTTTTATCCTCGACAGGCTTTATAATTTAGAGAAGGATGCAGCAGTTAGCGTTTCGTATTGTGTTAGTAGAACCAATTCGCTAAAAGGGTTAAATATTCCAAAATGGTCAAAAAAATTTTTTTAGTGAACTGCCCATATTTTTTCAAAATTTTTGTACAGGTGAGAATTTTTTTTAATTCGAGCTCATGACAACGATATGTTTATTAGGGAATGGTAAATTCTGTTCAAAAACGTTTAATTGCAAAGTCAAAAATCGACTGATTAAAAAAAAACATCCTAAGCATAACTGCTCTACCACTTTTGTTAAAAGTCGTGTGAATGAATGTTTCAATTTGTTGCATTTTAAAATGAGCATTAAATAAAACCAGCCGAAGCTTAAACTTGCTACCACTCTAAGCTAAGAAATCAATACAACTACTCACTCCAAATATATAGCATAAAAATCTTTAAGAAGCGTTTGAGAAGTAATTAAATCTTTGATTCGCATTTGAAAGCACTCATATAAAAAAACCGTTGATAAACAAGAGGGTGAATTGATTTGTAGGAACGCAAGCTCTGAAAAATTATGTAAATTGACTGTTAAAAAAAAGTAAAGATTATCGCGGTTGAGTTAACACCAATGCTAATCGTTTTGGCTCAGTTTGCCTTCCGCTAATTTGATATACGGCTCCAACACTGAGGAATCAATATAATTACTCAATCCAAATAAGTAGGACAATAATCATTGAGAAGTCACATTTGGATATGAAAGCACACATATAAATGGCCCCTGATAATCAAGAGAATGAGTTGATTTTTAGAAACACAAACTTTAAAAGTTATATAAAGTAACTGTTGATATAAAATTAAGGATTATCGTGGTTGGGTTAAAACAAATGCTAACCGTTTTTGGTTTTTGGTTTAGTTTGCCCTCTGCTAGTTTATTACAACGATCTAACACTGAGCAATCAATATAATTACTAAGCAAATAAGAGGCACAAAAATTTTTGAAAAGTCACATTTGGATTTGAAATCACTCATATAAATAGCCCTTGTTTAGAATCACAAATTTTAAAAAAGTATATAAACTTACTGGTATTATAAAAATAAAAATTATCATGGCTGGGTTGAGTTACCGCAAATGTTTGCGTTGAAAAATCACTAATGCAGTCAAATATGCGTCTAAGGATCATTTAGAGAAAAAAAAACATTTTAACTCATGAACCTGTGTGAATTAGAACTTTTAAAACGTTCTCCTTTTTTGATGGTTTATCGGGTAGATCCAGTTGAAATAGATTCATCATGCTCATCATAATGCCCAAAATTATCTATAAATTGAGACAAAAAAAATGCCTGGTTTTTAAAAATTTTTGCCCACTTTTTGTAAATAAATTTGTGGCATTCTAAGTTCACACAAAAGCTTTCTCAGAAAAACTGTAAGTTTTCAGTTTTGAACGAATTTAGAATCATTTTTCCGCTCAAATCTTCAGTTTACCAACAGCTGATATAATTGAAACTTGGTCATAATTAGTATGGTAAAGGCACTCTATGATCCAGGTTAAGATCTAATAAACTCGAAAAATGGTGTGGGGATGTTTCAGTGACTCACCATTTTTGGCTTTTCATTGGGTGGGGGTTGCAGAGGATCGCAACTCAATTTTTTGATCCCAAACAAATTTACGACTGCTCTTGAACTAAAAATCTACAGAACATATAGAACTAATTTTCTACAAATTATTGCACTAATTATATCATGTGCTAGCGAATTTTCATATTTTTATTAGGTTCTTTTTTCATAATCTGAGTTTTTATAATATGAGCAATATGTTGTCTCAGTATGAATTAAGTCAACAGTTTTCAACAAAAAAACAATCGATCAAAAAACTATTGTTCGATTCAGAAAATAATTAAAGCTGGATTTTTTGGGCTTTGCTTCATTTTGTCTTAAATGAATAATTAGTTCATCTTTCTCATTGCAAAATTTCAATTGAAAAAGAAAACGGAAACTTAACACAGCCTTTTTGATTTCAATTTCTGAAAAAATTGATATTTTGAAGGTGCCAATGAAGGTTATAGAATCAATCATGTAAATTTTCAATGATGCTCGCCCATGTAATTATTATACAGTCTGAGACTTAAGCTAAAATAAAGAAAAGAAAATACATAATCAAAGAGAAGGCGACGACACAGAAGCTTCTAATTGGGCCTCATCACTGATTCCCAAAGCCGTCAGGTGGGCTCTCAGAGACTCTCGAATATCCTGAATTCCAGAAATTCCAAACTCTCGGCGTCTGTTATCGTCCATTTTCCAATCTGTGCAGAATACATCTTCCTCCCGAATTCTGAAATCGTTTCCAGACTTCGAGTAATAATCGTTCATTTTTTCGATGTATCGATTTTTCATTTCGGCGATAGTTTTTCCTTCGTTTCGCAGATTTTCTGCGAATAAGCCCCACTTGTTAATACATATAATGATTCTGCAATCGTCGGAAACCGAAACTGTTTTGTAGTATTCGGATATTTTGTCAGCTTCGTCTTGGTTAACATCTCCTGAAAAAATAAACAATTGGCAAGAAGGTAGTGGGGGCAAACAACTGCCTGATGTGGTTTTTGGGCAATTCTGTTCCGCTTCAAGCAATTCAACCTTTCTCAAGGAGTCTGCAAATCAGAATTTAAGTAGAACTGTTGTACAAGGATGTTTTGATGATCGGAATTGATGTTTTGAAACTTATTAAAAAATTTTTAGCACTTCTTGATAAGCGAGCACAGGCAAAACATATTTGTTAGCCAATTTTTATCTTATTTTGAAAGTGTTTCCAATTCATCCCTTTTTTCTAAAAACATTAGGGAAAATCACCCGGGTTGACCTCCATACACTGGAAATGCTTATCATACAATTCCATACAACAAAAATAATTATCAGACAATTCCATACATCAAGTGCATGGAGAAAATGCTTGTTATACAATTTTCATACACTTTCGAAAAACAATAGAAAAAAAGCATTAAACAATTTTGGAGAACAGTTGAACAGACTGGTGACAAAAAAAATTGATTTAAAACTTAAAAAAATATGCTTACCTTTTAATTTCCATATATGGAAATTGTATGACTGGCATTTTTTGATGGTGACACAAAAGTTTTTCCAATTAATTTTGAGTTTTTGCCCCCAAAATTTTTTTTTGACCGCAAATCGCATTTTGTACGCAAACAAACATTTTCCAAAAACTTTTTTTGTGTGCATAACGTAGTCCTGGAACGATAATTTTGGCTTTTTTTTCTTTTCTCTTAAATTTTTATTTTCAAAAACACTGAAAACTCTTTTTTCTTTTGAATGGGGTGTTTATGTATGACTTGATCGAAGTCTGATAATTTGGAAATTCAAAAATTTATTATAATCATCACTGAAAAATTTTGCCAAAAACTAAAAGTTTGGTACTTTTGTTATATCATTTATGAAAAACAGCTCGGAGACAATTCAGGTCGTTTTCTATGCATTGTAAACGCAAGACCGTCCAACCTTTGGTGATTTGAATAACCAAGGTCTTTGTCACTTGTGTTCGTTGCAAACACAACCTCTATTTTTTAAGAAAAAAAATTAGAAAAAAAACCACTATTCGGTTTATGGAAAAAACAATATCAAGCAATTTCCATCTATGGGAAAATGTTTATTATAGAGATTTCAAACAATTTTCTGTACGTATGGATTTGTATGGAATTGTATGAAAAGAAATTCCCCATTTATGAGAATTGTATGGAAAGCATTTTTGGTCAACCCGGGCAAATAAAAAACTACAATATGTCGCAATTATAGTGTTTTTGGTGCATTTGTAAGCAATTTTGTATTCTTATCCTGATTTTTTTTTGAAATTAGAGCTTGAAATTATTGGGACTAAAAGAAAAAACCAATGCGTTTTGGCTCTGTTATAATTAGTAGAGCCCGAGTCGAGATTTTTCACCTAATTTGAAGCAAGATTTGAGCGGTTTGAGCGGTTTTTTTAGACAATTACGCTCAAAATCTTGCTTCAAAATGAGCGGTTTGAGCGGTTTTTGAACGGTTTATCTAAAAAAACCGCGCAAGATTTGAACGGTTTTGAGCGGTTTATCTAAAAAAACCGCGCAAGATCTAATAATAAAAAGTCGACCACATTGGGATTCGAACCAGCAATCTTGTGATTCGAAGTCAGACGCCTTATCCGTTAGTCCATGCGGCCCTGAAACTACTGTCGCGCAGCGAAGCCAGTATAAATTACGCACCACAATGAATACTGAACACTCTGCATTCTAATTCATGTCTCTGTTTATTATGTGGGTCCTGGAACACTGAAAACTTAATCATTTCAGAATGCCTAGGCCTTCTTATTTTAAGATAAACCGTTCAAAAACCGCTCAAACCGCTCATTTTGAAGCAAGATTTTGAGCGTAATTGTCTAAAAAAACCGCTCAAACCGCTCAAATCTTTCTTCAAATTAGGTGAAAAATATCGACTCGGGTTTCTTATTTGTAAACAAGATCCGTCAGATGTTAACCGTAAATGAAATGCTAAATAACTATTAATTACTAGGGTTGTACTTGGAAAGAAATTACTAAACCCGTCTAGCTGTCAACCAATTTTTTTGCGTGCTCGTGTTTCATTCACAATAATACTTTAAGCAATGAAAAAACGATTCCAATAACCGTTCATTATCAATTAGGTTTCACTTGATATTTTGACAAATTCTTGCTGAGTCGTCATGACTGTATTCGACATGATTTTGAGCTAGAGTTTTCTCATTTAAATTGCAATTTCGTTTACAATTGTGATAAATCCAATTAAAAAGTTTTTAGATTTCTAATTTTATGTTTTTTTTTCCTAAATAAAACCCTTACAAAAAATATGTTTGATAAAACCAAATAGATAATTCTAGTTATGAAAAAAAAACGTTCACTCTGAAAAGTTCCAAGAGAACACATGAAAATTTGGACAGAACATGACGGAAAAAACTAAGTTTTCCCATGACTAATAACTGAAACACTTGGGAGTTAAACAACTTCAAAAGTAAACTTACCTGAAGTAGCAATGTTAATTACAATCAGATTATTCATCGCCCCACAAATACTGAAGGTTCTAGAGTGACATTCTAAGCTGTTATTTCCTGGGTAGTCCACCACTTGAACTGTCTCCGTAATTTTTCTGATTGTTGGTTTATCTGTGTGAACTGAACTTCCTGTCGGAGAATTTAACTGCCACATCGCGTTTATGAAGGTGGATTTACCCGAGTTAATTGGGCCAACAATCCCAATGAAACATTGAGTCGCAATTGTTTTTCGAACTTCATGGATTTTTTTAATCATCCTTATTCGCTCAATCACAACTTCTTTTGACGCTTCAATGCAGTCGTTCAACCAGGTTTTAGAGAAATTTTGAGCCCCCAAGTTCTCGTCAAAGAGAAGAGTAACTGTTTTTTCGTTATTGAATAAATTTGGGTCATCTTTCAAGTCTCTAACTTCAGTTTGATGTGGTTCGTCCAGATGACCAATCCTCGGAGTAAAGATCTCAGCCAGAACTTTCACAATTTCAGCGTAACTTTCATCAGCCAGATTAATTCTACTGTTCATTCGTTCTTTCAGTTGATACATGTGTGCTGCAGCTAAGCCAATAAAAATCACTACTGCTGCTTCTGTTACAAAAATTGCTGGAAGAGCATAGAATATTATGACTTTTAAGGAAAACTATTTGTTGTGATAGCGCGCTTGAATGACATATGTTCTAAATTTATAACTTTTATTGTTGTGATGTTCTTGCATATCAAAATTGCATAAGTATTTTGGATTGTGATTTTTTAGAAAACCAATAAAAATAGGTTTTTGAATTGAGAATTTTTAGAAAACCACTTTGGAATTTAAATTTTCTCCTAAATGGCATATCATAAAGACGCATATAATGTAACACGAAAAACGGCTAATGGCTACAACTCTGTATGACTAGGCAGCGATTTGCTGTCCATGGCAACGAATAACATATAAAAGTCTGCTTGGAAATGACTTCATTAAATCTAATCTCATTTGCGCAGTCACTTCATCTTTGAATTCGATTATATATATCCTCAACTCTTCGGTATTTGTTGGTGATTTCTTTTCCTCAGAGAATATATTGAGTGATAAGTCCCGCTTATTTTGGCGGCCATTGCAAATTTTGGACAAGATTTTCCTCCATCCATTTTTTAGTAGGTTAGAGGACAATTGTAGGGTTTTTCTAGTGATTTTCTTCAAAAGGTTTCTTTTTAATGTAGGCTGAACCATTGTTTTGTTTAAATTTATGCCATCCTCGGTGTCAAGTTTTAACGCAAATTTCTGAGCAGAAACGTACGGATTTCTTAAAACTATTGAGGCAGTTTTTTCAACAATTTACTAGCTGTTTTTCTATGTCTTTTCCACATCTCTTTTTCCGATCAAGGAGTTTTCCTTCGCGTATGTTTTTTAATTTTCGGTAGTAAGTGGACCTTGATATCTGCAAAGAATTGTACAAAAAACAATCGTCATTTGTTGCTGGCATAGCTAATTCCAGAGGTCATTGTTTAAAAATTGAGTAAGCACTAATGTGCAACAGTTTACCGCATGTAGCGTGAACAGATATTAAAATCATCCCGTCAATTTTTATATCTTTTGCTAGCGAAAGAATAGTTAAACAATCCATGTAAAGCAATTGCTCTACCAAAATCATCGGAAAGGAGCTGGAGGAGCTTTAAAAATGTAACTGAAGTCTCAATTTTTTTTGCATTCAACAGTATATTAATTAGTTATGAAGCTTATTGAACCAAAGTGCAAAAATGAGATTAGTGCAGAGTTTTCAAAGTCTGATATTCCGTTTCGAAAAGGACACAAGCCACAGTTTGAAAATGAAATACTAGTATTTTTATCAACATCGACAGAGAACCGGCAAAAAAATATGATCGAAAATTTCGAATGAGAAAAAATTCTGAGAAATTTTAGTATAAAGGAGCTGAGGAAGTGTTCAGAATTCGGAAACAATGTAGTTTTTACTGTACCAAAATGCTAGCGAGAGAAAAATTGTATTTATAGATGAAACCGAAAGTTCTGAAGACAAAAAGAAGACACAACCAATGCATACTGAACCAGTGCTGAAAACAAAAACTGTTGATATAGTTGTAGCTTGGAAAAAAAAATTTAAAACGCTTATAGCTTAAACTGCACAAAATATTGATTATAGTTTAAATTATGTATCAGTAGATTAAATTACACAGAAGGTTGTTGCTTAGTTACCTGAGGAGCAATCAGTGTTAAACATTCGAAGTGCTGATCCGTGTCGTATTTTGGGTTTTTAAGTTGAGCAAAATCAGTCGGAGGATGTAGTTTATTGAAAAAATTCTTCATACCATCAGTACTCGTACAAAATTAAAAAAAACTTACCTGATTCTATGAAGGATATAATAAATTATAATTTAGTTGCTGATACAAAAACTAAAAACTCCTTTTTTGCGTTGTATTCCTTTCTTTTTCATCGTAAAAACTGGATGCATACAACCTATAGTTACATTAGATAATTTATCAAGCTTTCAGAAATCTAGTTTTAAAAAATTTTGAAAAACTATTTCCATAGCATCAAAATAGAACTAAAAGACACTACAAGCATAAAACAAAACTATTTTAACCGTAGGAAACCCAAGCGAGAATCTCATCCCTAAAATTTTGGATAATCTCTTTTGATTGATATTTCATATCAAATGGTTGCTCACAACCCAAGTTTTCCCATTTTTCGTGGATACCCAAGAAAACTTAGGAAGAAGTTTTGGTGCTCCTTTACAAAATCTTACGAGCGCTGAAATCCCCTTTCTTATAAAACTATTTTGTTCCATCTTCAAAAAATTGGAAGAATCATATTTAAAATTTAGGCTCCAAAGAAATGAGAAGTTGTAAGTGATTGGAAAAACTGAAAACAAATACAAAAGTTGCTGAAACAAAAACAGTATGAAAACAATCGGAAAAAAAGAAGCATTTGGAAAAAAGAAACCCAAGCATCGAACTGGTAAAGCAAAAACGTTTCTTGAAAAACTAGTTTATAAACCGATCACTCTCGCAATGGTTTTTTTAAAAAAAAAAATGAGATGAAATCATAGCAGTCACTTTTGGTACGAGGCTTTTAGAAATTGTTTTTTGGTTATTTTTGATGAAAACCCAGTTTTGAAACAATCATTTCATCTTACCATCAAGAAGCATTTCGCTCGATTGGACAAAACTTACTGGTTTGTGATTCTTTGGGTAAAAAAAAGATCATTTTATTCTTTTTTAACAAAAAAGTATCGGCAAAGTTGGATATGTATATTTTGTCTTTATAAGTAATTTCATGTTAAAATACTGTTTTTTCATTTTTAAATGTAAATTATTGCAATGAAAAATAATTATGCGCTACAGTGACATTTTTTTTGTCTATGTAATTTAATTCTTTAAGCTCCTTATTTTTTTAAACAAAACTAACTTTAGAAACTATTTTTTTGTTAAAATACAATCAAGTGTTTGATTGAATTTGGATGAGATAGTCCCCCATTCAAATGAATTGTCGATAGAATAGATAAATTTTTAAAAAGTACAAAGAACTTCTGGTAATTTTTATAGTTTTTTGAAAAATTTTTTGAGAAAAAAGGACAATTAACATGCAGAAACTAAGAGAGCCGAAATTAAAATTTTACCAGAGCAAAAGAAATGACAAATTTCGAAATTAATTTTTTTGAAAGTTTCAATATATTTCAAGACTTTTTAAAAGGTTAAAATTAAAATGATAACGGAGAATTGAAGCCAATCATAGCTAGGATATTGACAGAATAAAAGATTACTCTGGGTTGAAACTAAAAAATTGCTGAAAAAAATTGATTGGTCGAAATTAAATATAATATGTTTTTTCATATCTAAATTCCATTTGAAAATCCATGCAGTTTTGATTAGATGCTTTTTATGTTTTTATTACATTTGAGTTTTCAATCTGACTGGAAAGCGTTTTGCACTTTAGTTTTTTATTTATTTCATGGAGGAGTATGGGGAGAAAAAAACTTTAAAAAAAAATAAAAGTAATTGGTAAAGGGAGTTGTCATCCTTTCTCATGCGATGAAATAATACCTGGGTAGTAAAAAATTCAATGGGACATTAAATCAATCAACCATAAAGGGGTTTTTAATTTTTTCCCAGTTTAGTCACAGGAGCGGAACATTTAATCTTAAATATTTTGTTTCCCCAGACAACCTGTTGTCAACCCTTTTAAGGTAGGGAAATTGAGACTTTGCATGGATGATTGATCATACCAATTGTTGTCAAGACTTGTCACCATGGTATGTCCTATCTTATTACATGGATTACCAATTTTAATACCTTGAGAAATGTATACACGATCGTAATAGATTAGTGCCGAGGATCATAAAACATGGAAAAGTCGGGCGCCGAAAAATTCACCATATGAAACCTACCATCTTACCATCTCAAGTCTTGTATCTTATGAAACCTTATAACCTATTTCAATACATAGGTAATCCTATTCCCTATCTTAATACATAGCCTGTTTACCGGATGCTTTTAACATACCTTAATACATGGAGGTCAGTATAGGCAAACCCCTTGATCAGCCCAAACATATACCTCTTATTAACCTCTGTTGTCTAGGCTTCAATTATTTTTGGGTTTTTTTACATAGCTTTTTTTCGATTTCAATCAAATTTGAGCGGGTCGAGCTGTTTTTCGCGTTTCATCTGCGTAGCTGTTTGATCTTGCCATTAGGGGAAAGGCTGTGGTCTTTTTGCGTCTCATCAATAGAAATAGAGATACTCGTAAAAAAACTCAAGTTACTTCTGGTCAGTTACTGCATGCTGTATTGAAGAGCATGAAGATATAAAAACTATATGCTTATCACGGGATCCAAAATTTGAACGTTAGTTTTTGACAATCATCTACTGAAAGTACGTCTGTACATGAAAATTTGCTGGTCTTGCAGTTTAATGGCAAAGTATTAATCATGGATCTTCTATGCAACTTTCTACACTTGTGAAATTGTGAAAAAATTTGTATGAATAAAGATTTGGGTCATCCCGGTTTTGTAACCCCATTCTGAAATTAAAAGGGTGCTAAAACTTAAAAGCAAAAATAACTAAGGTTTACCTTAGGCCTTTTTTCATCTCAAGCGCGCTAATTACCCATTGAAAAACCCACCCCGATCAAAACTATTGTTACTTTTGTATCGAAAGTCGAAACAACAAGCAAAAAGAACCAAGATTTGCATTAGGCTTTTTCATCTCAAGCGCGCTACTCACACGTAGCCATAGCCAAAACTCAGAAAAATTGTTAGTTTTGTTCATGTCGATCTGAATTTGAGTGCTAACTGCGCGTTCAATTTTCATGCAGAAGTTTTCCACTTTCGTGTATTGCGTTTCATCGCAAAGAATTTGCTCACAGTTTCCCCGTAGAAACCATTGAAATTCATCTATTTCTGCAGCATTTAAGCAAAGACTGGCCAATTCGAAAATTTTTCGAATGAGAAGGTCATTCGGGGCATGTTCGCCTCTAATCTCAGCGAGGGCGATGCCTCGTTGGATTGATTTTCTAATGACTAGTGAAACCGACTCATGTTTCGATATTTC